TTTCTAAGAAATTCAGATTCCTCCAAATTTGATTCACCTATATCACAAGTTAATATATTGGGAAATGAATGTAATGGGAAGTCGCTTGCACCCAAAACTGAACCAATCAAAAAATGATATAAAATTATCAAAACTTTGTAAAATAGTACGAAATAAAACTTTAACAAAGTAAAATTAGTAATATCTCAAACTTCATCTAAGTAACAAGGGTTAACTCAACATTCTAACAAGCAGCATCTTTATAATCTTGATAAGAAACAAGTAATATAACAATCTATCAATCTTAGCATCGTATGTCTTTATATAAATATACCATTTTTTAAACTAAACAACTTTCTCTTTTGTTTTGTTTTGTTTTTCATTTTGTTTGTTATTCAATATTATTATTCTATAAGCTATTGAGATGTATTTCACCCCAAAACTGAGTTTGCAAATGTGACTTGTTTAGGAAACTCTCTCTCTTAGGTCTGATATAGCTCTTAATAGACTATAATTAGTTTAAATATATTAATTATATCTGGCCCATAGGCATTACACGAGAAAAGTGTATTATTTTAACATAGCAGCATCTCGTTGGATCACAAACTCTTTCTATTATTCACGTCATAGAACAAATCGGGTCATAACAGATGACAAAATTGACTTTCCAAATGTTAAGAAATTAAATCTAAAAAAAATTGATTAAATACTTGGGGGTTAATCATATAGTAAGAAGAGTTGATGATTATTATTGACGGTCATATATTTAGGTAATAGAAATTATTTTCTCTACTTTTTGCGCTCGGATTCATAGAAAAGAGTCAAAAATGAGCGGGTTCAAATCCCGCCAGTGTATATTTTTTATTTTTTTCAAATTTATTTTTATGTTTGAATAGATAAATATTCATAATTATCTAACTCAAAAGTAAGTAAGTTGTTCAAAATGAATGTATAGAAGTTTAGTATCGATATCGCTTTCCATGGTCGACAGGCATGAAAGACAGATTTCGTGACCGATCGATTTTTTTGACTATATCATGATGATATCACAAGGACATTTAGTAATTGTTTTAATATCTTAGTGTAAGGCCTATTTAGATGACAACCCAATAGTTGTCCTATCCTGGTTGTAAGATATGACGACTATGCTTAAAATTATTTTTCGATTTCCAAATTTCATATTTCTAACAATGTTCTCGAAAGACATTGACTTGCAATTAGAAGATAATTGCCTAAACTACGAAACTATCTTGCCATATCGATAGAGAACACTGTACGTTTCTAAGCATTTATTAATGTTTATGATCAAACCATTTCTCACAGGCCTATAATGTTTTAAGGAATTCGTTTCGACTATCAACTCTATCATCATGTGAAGTTTCATCAAAATCCGAGACGAGCAAATTTGAGATTTTAAGTCAAGAATATGTTAAATGCCTAGTTACGAACTATTATAGTTATGTATACAGTAAAAAGCTACTGTTTATGGTTAGATGATAAAATTAATTTTAATTATATATATATATATATATATATATATATATATATATATAAACCTTAATTGACTTCCAGTTTCCTATTTTACTATATGAAATAGGAGTGGAAAAAAGTGAATATAAGTCGTTAAAACAAATTACTTTTTTTCTATTACCCCATAAACGTATTTTTAAAATACCTATGTGATCGCCAGCAATAAAACTATAATTTCAACTCAAAATTTTATTTCGAGCTCTAAAACTCACAAAGTAGATTCTGGCAAAGTAAATTTCTTATTTCCAGATATGTAAATCATTCCCTACATAAACATTATCAAAGTCGCATGAAATTAACAAATGCCGTAAGCATAAAAATGGAAAAAGCTTCGGTCTTATCTAAAATAGCTCGAGAACAAAATAAATAGCGCGTTATCTGTAATTAAAAAAGTGCAATCAAATCCCCTTTGAAAATGTAATCAAGCAAAGCAAAGAGATGTCTCTGCCTATATAATCACGGTAGTGCTAATGCATAAAACATTAATCCAATTACATTTTCTTAATAAACATAAAATTCATGTCTTCAGATTCAATTTAAAAAACTAACATCTTATACATCTACACGGAAAAATGTGTATAAAAAAATTCGAAGTTACACAAATATAAAAATATGTGAAGTGACACTGCTGTACGGAACAGCGTTCCGCAGCAGACAAAATATTTTAAGATTTCTTGATCATCAACAACAAAAATGTATTTTAAAATTTAAAATACACTTCTGAAGAAATAAAACAATAACAAATTAGAATGCCCAAAAATTGAATGTACAGCGATAAATGTTGATACAAGGATCGAAGCATCGGAAGTCGTCTAAGGACGACACCCATACACCCAGGTCGTCATGCGGATAACGTCTATAGTCCACGATCGTAGCAAAATAGTTAATTAATTCAAATAGTCATTTACCCAAGAGTATTAAAACTTCTACCCTCAGTGTGCAAAATTTGCTTCGGCTTTTTAAACTAACGATGGAAATAATAGCGCTAACTACATTTCCAGAATGTACATGTTTCCTATTAAACTTTTCCAGCAAACGACATTAAAATTATAAAGATAGTTTAAAAGATTTAATTTTTAATCAATTTCCAAGCCATCTTCAATTTCGAGCGAACTTTAAATTCGCCTGAAGTAAAATTTTAAGGATATCATTCCCCACTCTCGGATTACATTGAGAAGTTTTAACGGAAAAATTATTATTCAATCCTAGACTATGGCAAAGAGGATATTATGTTCAGGCACTCGAGAGAACAGTCCAACTTATGAAATTGTGTGGAAAATGTCGGCGGTTATTCTAACAAAAGCATTAAACCGTAATGGCGTTATGAACTTTTTTGCCGCCACCGAAAATTAAATATTTTGTTACTGTTTTGCCGCAAACGAATAGAAATAGAACTATAAAATAATTATCATACAAAAGACGGTCATTCGGGATATGAAAAATAAATATTTTTAACGATAGTGCTTTTCTTATTCTTCTCTATAGTCTAGCTTTTTATAACATTAAAAATCCATATTTAACAATTTTCCATATTACTAATACATAGTAATATATCAGTGGTTTCCAAGTTTATTTTAAAAAACAATTAAAGGAAGAAATAGTCAAAGAAACAAAAGTTCAATACATTCTCAAAAAGTGACCTTAACAGTCCTATAACCATTAACTAAAAAATTAGAAAAAAATCATCCCACGTTGTTTGAACATTATGAGCTTTCAAGTGCAACCTAGTGCTTTGGTGAAATTATGAATTTTTCGGTTATTGTGGTTAATTTTGCTCATTTAAACTACGGAACCGTAACCGTAAATAAGATTTTTAGAACCACAGTAAACCACATAGTCCACAGTAAAAATATACCACGTTTCCAAGAATTGAGACTTTTTGTTGAACCATGAATTTAATTTTTTTTTAATGAAAATATGTGGCAAGTTTCATCAAAATCAGGAAAGTATAATGGTAAACTACTTTATAATTTTCATATTAAAATTTTTTGAGTAAAAAAAATAAAAACTTATCCGAATCGCAAAAAATAAAGTTTTTGTAAATAGCTAATATTATCTATAATTTTATTTTCCTGAGCTAAAACTTAACTTTAGAAAAAAATGTGTTATTATATAAAATTTTTTTTTTGTTTTTAACAGTTCCCGAAGCACGAAAGAACTTCATCAAAAAGGAAGAAATTAAATATTTTTCAGAAAAAAGTAGGCTCAGTTCAGAAAATTAATATTATTTGTACTGGTATTCACCCAAAGGATGGACTTTTCAATGGATGGACTAATACAGTATTTGCGTTTTGTTTTAGAAAAAGTCGTAATGGTCAATAACGAAGTAATATGTATGATTCATAAAATGTACTACGTTGTTTATATTCCGACCGTTATATAGTAGTTTAGAATATTATTTATAATTATTACAAATGGGTAAATACCACTACATATTATAAAAATAAAGTTTGTTTTCTGCATCTTTTCTGAATTCTTGCGATGTTTCAGAAGAACTTGATTTAACTAGCAAGTAAATAATATTTGTTTTTCAATTCTGAACATTTTTTTAAAAAATTGTAAAAATTATTATTAGAATTATAATCGTTCTCTTAAATATTTTCTCAACTACTAATGAGCTACTCATTCTTGCCGCATTGTTCACTATAGAAATATGTATTTTATTCTTGATAGAAAGCCTAATGATGAAACTAGTATGCAAAAATGTCGCAAATAAGGACTACTTTTAAAAAACTTGTTTTAAAATAAATACAAACAGTAACTATCATAGCATGTGTATAGTAGTTTATGTAATTAATATTATGGAAAGAAAACACTGTATTAATTACTATTACGCAAACGTTATTTTACCCATGATCAAATTGCAATTGAATTCAATTTATTTAACTGCCATATAGTTATTTGATCGGTTGTTCATCGGCAACTGTTGTCAATTTAAATAAATTCTTTGCAAATTGTTCCACATTGACCCTGAGCACCAGTGTTGCATTTCACACGCGGAATGTAATATTCACAACCAAACTTTGATGTGATGTCTATATCGTATTGCACGTACATCGCATGCCGTTGATTTCTAATGTAATTCATCAGCTCAAATAACTAAAATTAATCAACAGAACTATGTCAGCCTTCATTAATGGACTTCGCAATAGGAACAAGGCATGGAGTTTAAGTTTCATGAGAATCATCACGAACTAATGCAGAGTTTCACAACGTTGGGCACACGTCGCACATGGTAGGTAATTTGGAAATGGACTCAACAAGACTAACTTTTTCGTCCTGGGATTTTTAAATTTTCAATTTTAGATAATAGAAAAATTAATAAAAAGCATATTATAAATAGAATAAACTAAATTTTAAATTTTTTAAATTTACAATTCATACAAGTAAACATACAATTTTCAAAAATGTTAAAGCACTTTTGTGGTTCTTATATAGACGTTCAACGTTAAAAGTTATATTAAAAATTTTTCTCAATAAATCTTGCGTACCTGCGTTTCGATTCCCTATTTGATTCTTCTTCAGTGTATACAGAACAAATCTAAAAAAAAAGAAAAAGTACAAATAAAAAAACGTTCAAACCAATTAATGACAACATAAAATATAACAAAAGAAAAATAAAATATAGATATAAATATTTTTCATGTTTATTATCACATCAAATGAATTTTAATTACAAGTTAAAATTAAAGATGAAGATCTACGTTTAGCAGAATTATCTAGAAAAATTTAAAAAAATTGAAACAAGTTTCTGCAAATTTTATAATGCAAACATTTTTGTTCGAACATATTTTGGTTTTATTATATTGGCCATGAAGATGACAACCTTCAGGGCATTAAGCTTTACACGGAATGGTAGCTACCCCTGTTAGAGGGGGTAACGGAGTGTTTTAATTGAACTAGTTGTTCACGTCTAAGAGTAAAGTCCGCGAAACAACATGTATAGTAAATAATAAATAAATATATCTTCTTTCATTATAACTTAATAACAAATCAATGATTGTAATTAGAACTGCAACAAATAAATAATATACAAACAAATCAGTGTTTAATACAGTCCACAGCTACAAGGGTTAAATTATAACCCAACAACCTGAGTTAATGAAGAAAAGTTTACATAAATTCTATAAGTACGTAACATAATTACAATTTTTGTCTTTATAAAATATGATTGTTGAATTGAAGGTGTGTTTAAAGGGTTTTAGAATTTTAGAATTTTAGAAATATAAATGTTCATTCATTTTTTTCTGAATGTATGGGAAACTTTCACCAATATAAGAAGAAGCATTGCAATCGTTGCAATTCGCTTTATAAATAGAGTGTGCAAGTCTAATCATTAGTAATTTTTCATTTCAAAACGAAAAAAGGAAAGTATTTGTTTGAATTAAAAAAACAAAAATCCTAAAACAACTTTTTTTAAAAAAAATTAGATAAATAAGCTAAATAACGCATAAAAATAAAGTTCTTATATTTATTAAGAAAACACGAATATAATATATTCATATAACTATATTAATTTTTTTTTCCTTTCACATGGTCTCTATTTTTAATTTTTTCTATTGGTAAGTCCACTAATGATGACATGCGTTCATTTGTCAAAACGCATAGAAAAATATATAAATATTATTTCTTTGTTTATTTTATTTGATATTTGTGGCTCATAAAAAATAAGAGAATTCTAATCAACTATTATGGAGATCTTTCAATGAGTTTTAAATGAATTTCTTATTTTACCTTACGTCGTAACCTAAAATTGACTTCGCTAGCACATCAACCGTACATAATCTAATTACAAAACATTTTCGTAACAATTCATATTAAAATTACAAATGTGTGTACTCATCATTCACTTTAAATTGAACTTTTATAGAGCACGAAATATCAAGTTACAAAAAAGACAATTCAAGTCGACCTATATGATTGGATATATATGTAAGTCATCTTTTTTCTGCCAATTAAGGTTAGTAGCCCCGTATTAAAGAACTTTTGGAATGGCCTTTTTGAACTATCAAAAAGCAGTATTATACATGAAATAATGCGATTCACATTTCAATTTTCGGCGAGAGGATTACAATAAGAGGATTTCGGGAAAGCTGCTTCTCTTCTTGCCGTTAGTACACCTGTTCGCATTCTGTTTCGCATTTTATTAAATTCCTCTGACGTTGCGTGTCGCACAATTTATATTGTCGTAACGGAAATAGAATCATTTGAATATCGTGATTCGTCTAAGAAAAGGGTTTGTTTTTTTCGTATATCCTTGTAGAGGGTGTATCACATTTATATTAAATATGTATTTCGAAAATGTGTCAGCGCGACGAAAATTTCGCATTGTGATACAGATGGTTTTTAAATTTCGTTAGTAAAAAACATACAATGAGAAGTCAGTTTTTAAGGGAAATTGATAAAAATTAGATACAGACAAAAAATTTCGCTTTTACTAAAAACGAATTACAATTTTTAAAGGGTATCTTTCAAATATACTTATACTATATATAATGGTATCAATTAAATTTATTTAGCATAATTCATTCTACTTTCATGTTCTAAAAATAAATTTTATTCAAATGTAAAAATCAACGGTGATCAGTACAAAACGCACAATATGGTGCATGTCTTAAGGGCGCAGATCATTATGCCAAACTTTAATAAAATTTCATAATTAAACCTTTATTTAATTAATTTGAAGAAAAAATCATATAGTAAGACTTGATATAATAAGAAGACAAAATTAACAAAAACAAATTAATTTTTCTGGCAAAAACAAATTTGTTTTTTCGAAAGTATACTGAAAAGTGACAATAAAAACGTGTCAACGTAGTTTCACAGTTCACATAATTCTTAATATTTTTTATGAAACTGAAATTATTTCTCAAATTATACAAATATCGGTAATAAAATATGGCTTTTCAAATTTTCATTGAATATGCGTTTTTGTTTCATTTATATTTTTATTTTTTTACTTCATTTTATAATTTTTTAGTTTCTTAATCATTATCACTTATGTATATTGTTTACTTTAATTGATTGTTCTTTTTATTACTTAAGCAAACAGTTTTGTATAAGACTTTATAAATCTTAATTGACAAAATAATAAATAGGGGAAAATATGAATATGCGTTTTGAAATAAAATTAGCAAATGACGATAAAAATCTCGTATTATGGAAAACGATAATTTTTGATTTATTTTTTTAACCAAAACTGAAAAAAAAATACTGATCACAAGCAAAATGTGTCTTCTAGTTCAAAATCTTGCAAGTCAAATATTTGTTAAAATACCTTTAAACAATTTTAATCGACCATAAAATGTAATACAGCAATTCTTCTATATATGAAACAATTTCCTTTAAAATAAAAACAAGCACTATAAACAACGTACTTTATTAAATTTGTTATTTCTTGACCACCTTGTCTTCAGTTTCTCAACAAATTATAAAAAACAGTAAGATGTATTCACAGCTTTTCTCAATTTCACAAGAAGTAAGGAATTGTTTAACTCATGTTGTGAAGTTATACGTAAAAAATACCAGAAGTGAATATGATAAAAAAAATTGTCTAATAACTTTAGCTAGATTAAAGTAGTCATCAAAGAAAAGAGCAAAAAGTTAGATCATACAAAATTAGAAAACCACCGCAATCCATTTATGTAAGACTTAAATTAACTACTTGAAAAAAAAGATTAAAAAAATGGCACGTGTTTTTTAAAACTAATAAGCCAGGTTCAATTAGCATTGAACGGCTTACAGAAGTCGTCAAATTTAAAAGTCATACCAAAAAAAAATCATACAACCAAACCAATCCATTTATGCAAGATTTACCAGAAGTACTGATGAATCGAGGATTAAAAATGTGCCACGTGTTGTAAAAAAAAAATGAGCGAAAAAAAATGGTTTCAAAACTACCTACGCATACTTTATGTTTCAAGGTATCAGAAGTGCTTGATAAAATATTTCATTTATTTTCGCTGAAAATTCAAACATAAAATGCAAATTAACTTGGCAACAACTGTTTTAAATTTTATTGCCTTTAGAAATAGATGTCAATCATAATAAGTAAACGGTCAATTAATTTTAAAAATTAGCATCGATGCTCCATATGTATAAAAAGTATCAATAGCACTCCATTCATGCCATGGTACACATTTGAGTGTCGTAGTCGTAGTTAGGCCAGATATCAGTCAGATATAGTTCAGAACAACGATGGCATTTGATGGATGTCCCCGTCCGATGCAGGTTTCACAGTGCATACGCAATGGTCTACATCAGAATGGGAATGAGCTATGTTAACGAAACATATATCGTTAATTCTAACACACGACATGTCGATAATAATCGATTATATTATATTATTATATTATCTAATAACAATTCAAGAAGTCCTAGAACGGCTTGGGGTTATTTTACCATCTGCAGATAAAGATTCAGTAACTTTGCATAATTTACATAATTCTTTTTAGTCTTTCCATTTTAAGACCTGATAATTTTGAGCCCTATGAACTGTCTTGATGATACTTCTCAACTATGTTTTTTGAGAAGCCAATCCAATAGTTGGACTATATTTGATATATTTGTTTTACTAGAATTTCTCTAATACTGATATTTCTTAATTTGATGCTTCAATGTCGAGGAGTAGCAATCTTCATTTGGAATTAAATTTCCATCTATATTTTCTAGTTAAATCAGATGTTACTACTGATATATATAAGGTTGTACGAGGGGATCATCAAACCTAAAACCTTGATTTACACAGTCAAGGTTTTTACCACAAAGCCACGAAGAAGCCCTGCATTGAACAGAGTAGACCAAAATTTTGGTTAGTCGTATTGATTATTTTATCTATCTAAATGATTTTATTCTGCAGTATGTTTATACAAAATATGAGCAAACATTTTTAACAATATATATGAAAAACAAATATTTTGATTAGATCTTAGTAAATATGTCCAGCGGAAAATCTACTAGGACTATAATATACATCAGGCACAAAATGAAAAATAAGATATTAACAACAAAAAAGTAAAATTATTTAAAAGTAACTAAATGAGATCAGAATCAAATATGTCATACTGATTAAAATATTGCTATACAAAACTATAATATTTCCAATGTGGACTGAATTTTGGTTCCGAGTCGAAAGGGTTAAAAAGATTACAGACGTACTCGAATAAAATTGTACAATGTGCCATGAGAAAATAGACAAACATCCCAATCTTCTTGGAGAAAAACTTAATAATAAACACCTTCAAGGAAAATGAAGAAAAATGGCCAATCACTAGTAGATAAGTGACTAGAGCGACTGGACTTGAATCGGAGCTCCCGGGTTCGATCCCGCTTCAAAAAGCCTGATGTCAAGCAGTAGCATTTGGAAATATAGATAGAAATATGTTTTCAAGTGAAAATAGCCCACTTCCGACATTGCTGCACCAATAAAATATTCGGCCTATAATATAAGTTGAAGTACTAAAATTTATCATACAGAGATGGGACAACTGTTTAGTTTGCCATCTGTAAACCGATGTAGCCACATTAAGTCAAATTAGCCCA